GCAGATGGGTCACCATGAGTCTGAACCGACTGATAGCAAAAAACAACAAGACTGGCTAAGGTCACAGACTGACAATAGTAAGAGTTGACAAAGATGTGGAGCAACTAGACCTCTCATGCTGCTAGGGGAAGTATCAAATGGGACAACCACTTTGGATAAATGTTCAGCACTTTCTTATAAGGTTAAACATACACCTACCCCATCATCCAGAAATGTCACCTCTATGTAATTACTCAAGAGAGCAGTTTCAATATATTAGCCCAAACTTTGAAATAACCCATGTCCAACCTGTAAATGGATATGCAAATTATGGTCTAATCATTCAGTGGAATACTATTCTACAACAAAAAGTAGCAGATTAGTGATACAACATGAGTGAATCTCAAAAACATGTTAGGTGAAAGAAGCCATTGCAAACAGTATTAGTACATGATTCCATTTATATGAAGTTCTAGAACAGACGAACCAAAGATGCTAAGTTGTTAAGAGCTGTTGAGTCAGTTCTGACTCATAGCGACCCTGCATTAGGGTTTCTGAGGAGCAGCTGGTGGGTTTGAATTGTGGCCCTTGAGGTTCTCAGTCCAATGCTGATCCTGCATTACCACCCCAGGAGCCCAAAACAAAGATACGGATATAGAAATCAGAACCGTTGTCTCTAAGGAGGTGATGGATGGAAATGTTCTATAATTGATTATGGTGGTGGTTACAAGAGAGTTTGTGTATGTCTAAACCCACTCAACTGTACATTTTGTTGTTGGAAAATTATAGATGAATAAAAATAACATTTATAGTCAATCATATGTACATCAATAAAAAAACATGAAATATACAGAAAAACACAAAGTTAAAACTCACAATTAAACCCTCCAGAGATAATCAGCAGTTCTTTCTACAGTCATGAGTTCCCATATTTGGGTCCCTACTATTCACACTCAAAACAACAACAGCTATTCACACTGCTTTATAGTTTGCTTGGAAAATCGGTCCTATGTGATGTGCTTGCTATGGATCTCTTACAGCTGCCATCTAAAGCCACACCTGCCTTCTCCACCTTAGACTGGACCAATGGACCAATGGGCTTCCCTTGCCCTCAGGCGTTCTGTTAGGTTCAGCCAGTGGCAGTAAGAGCAGGAGACTAGAGGGTGGCAGGAGAGAGACTTCCGCATGTTTATTCTTTCACCTGCTAGATACCTTGGGCTGGCTGTGCCCTTCTGAGCCAGTGATACAGTACTCTCTACTTCTCGTTTCTGATCATTCCTTCTTCTCTTTTTTCTTTCTGCATATTCTCTTGAGGTGTCCTTAAGCCCCACCACATCTCTGTAATTGTTATTTGTCGTTATGTGCCATTCAGTCAGTTCCAACTCATAGCGACCCTGTATAGGGTTTCTGAGGAGCGGCTGGTGTGTTTGAACTGCCCATCTTGTGGTTAGCAGTCCAATGCTGATCCTACAGCACCACACACAGTGCATCTCTGTAATTGTTGTTGTTGTTAGGTGCCATCGAGTCAGTACTGGCTCATAGGCAACCCTATGTACAATAGAACTGCCCAGTCCCAGGCCAACCTCACAATCTTTGCTCCTTCTGAGCCCATTGCTTCAGCCACTGTGCCAATCCATCTTGGTGGGGGGGGTCTTCCTCTTTTTCTCCAACCCTCCACTTTACCAAACATAATATCCTTCTCCAGTGACTAGTCTCTCCTGATTATATGTCTGAAGTATGAGGGACTAAGTTTGGCCACCCTGGCTACCAAGGAGCACCCCGGCTATATATGCTTTTTTCACCATAGATTGCCCAACTTTTGCAAGCATTGAGGTTAGAAAAAACGCCATGGCTTGAGTCAGGCGCACCTTAGTCCTCAAACTAACTAGTCCCCTTGTAAATAAGCCACCTTGAATGATCCTTGAGTGAGCCATCAGTTTCTTGTTCAGACCCTGATTGATGCATTTAATACATTTCCCTGCCAGCTATTTGGAATGGCTGCCAGCTGTTCTGTGGCACATCACACGCTCCCACAGCGCACTACCATAATAGCAGCCTCCTTAGGCTCTGTGTTCCAGCCTCTGCCACCAGCATTTAGATGTCTTGTTGGGGCTTAGTACTTAGAAGCGTCTAGCTGAAGGAAAGGATGAAATGATGTTAAGCAACTGACCCCACCCAGCCCCTAGCGGTTCCACCATCCCGCTGCCCAACTCTGGAGGTGGGGGGGGGGGGGGGATGCTCATCTCCATGGCGACAGGGGTGGAAGTCCCGCCCCCGCCGCCTCCGGTTTCCCGTGATCCTTTGCGAAAGAGCTACGTAGCCGGAAGCTGGTGGCGGCCGGGTCGGTGGGGAGCGCGCAGCCTCGGTGCAGCTCAGCGGTCCGGTGCGACCGACCCCCGGCCCGACTGACCCCAGCTCCGACCCGGTCCAGCCTGGCCCCGGCACGCAGGCAACGAGCCCAGCGTCCCGCCCTCCCGGTAAGCGCACGCCTCCCGCCCTGGCGCTGCCCCTCGCGACCCCCGCTCCGCGCGCCCGGGGCCCGGCTCCCGCCCACGCTCCCCCCGCGAGAACAGAATCGTCCCTCGGCCCGGCCCCGAGAGCCCTCTTTAGACAGCCCCCGCCGGCCTCCCACCTCTTCCCTCTGACACTGCTTCCTCCCCCTCCGGACCCCCGCCCACCCTCGGGGAGCGCGCCCCTTGGGCTGAGCCTTGCCCCGTCCCCTCCCCAGGGCCCAGGCTGGACAGACACCAGTCAGGTCCTGCCCAGCAGGTCTAGGGGTCTCTGCGTTTGTTCGGTTGTCTGCCTCACTGTTTGATTGCATGGTTGTCATGGGGGAGGGAGAAAAAGAAATCGGGAGCGGGGTTTTCGGCTGTGTGGGTTCATGAGAAGACCTGTGCTCGTCTGCCCTGTTAACTTCAACCTAAAGCCGCGATTCAGAGCACAAATTCTGCTATTTTAGTGTAGAGCTAACAGTCCTAGCGCTGTTCATTAAAGCATTAAAAACAAGGGTTCTTGGGTGTTGCAAACAGTTACGTGCCTCACGTAACTGATAGTTCAAACTCGGCCAGCGGTACCTTAGGTCCTGACCCTCTGCTTCTGAAACGTCACAGCCATGAAAACCCTGTTCCTGACCCAAACCGACTGTCGAGGCGATTCCGACTCATAGACACCCTACATGGGGCTTTCAAGATTGTAAATCTTTACAGAGACAGACAGCCTCATCTTTCTTCTTCGCGTGGCTAGTGGCTTTGAACAGCTGGCCTTAAAGGCGAACAGTCCAGGGTTTGTCCTATAGGAACTCTCTCTGGTGGCATAGTGGTTACGAATCAGGCTGCTAACCGCAAGGTCATCAGTTTGAAACTACCAGCTGTTCCGTGGGAGAAAGATGAGGCTTTCTGCTCCCATAAAGATTTACAGCCTCGGAAACCTTGTACAGGGTCGCTATGGGTCGGAACCGACTCCACGATACTTAACAACAACAAACCACACCAGAAATTCCTGTGTTGTTATTAAGTGCCCTCAAGTTGGTCCTACCATAGCAACCCTGTGTAGGGTTTCTGAGGAGCAGCTGGTGGGTTTGAACCCCTAACTTTGCAGTTCAGCCCGACTTTGTGGTGCAGCCACACCAGCACTGGCTCAGTTCTAGTCTACACTTGGGGTTGGGGGGTCGGGGGGCTCACCAGGAACGTGAAACAACTGACAACATTAATCAGGGCGGTAACATCACTCTTTGAAGTTTGCTTTGCCATTTCTTTCTGTGGCCCTGTCCCTGCCACAGTTTAGAATCCATTCATTCTTTAGCTTGAGGAAGCTCCGTTGTTCCTAGAGCTGAGGTGCTCCTGACAGTTAATGAGAAAGACATTCGGTACCATAAAACCTGTGCAAATTGGAACTTGCATAAAACAGAAATCTGTCCACGAAGGAAACTCAAATATTTTCCACTAACTGAGTGATGGAGTCCTGGGCTGGACTGCTAACCACAAGGTTTGAACACATGGTTGGTGGTTCACTCCCAAGCTGCTCCTTGGGAACTACACAGCGTTGCTATGAGTCGGAATCGACTCGACGGCACATAATGACAACCACAAAGTTGGCGGTTCAAACACACCAGCCGCTCCTTGGAAACCCAAATGGGTCGCTATGAGTTAGAACCCACTTGACGGCACTCGACAACAACAAAGGAGTCTCAGAAGTCCCGGATTGCTGCTCTGGACTCCAAGCTGAGTCTTTTAGGCCGACATCTCCCTGCCGGGAGACTGAGCGTTCTCTCTGCTTAGCTGACTAACTAGGGTTGATCGCAGCGTCTCACTGTGAGTCTCAGGCTTGCCTGTGTTTGTGACTTGAATGTGAGCCAGGACTTTGGAAGGGTCCAGGACAAAACAACTGAGCAGCTCTGCCTTGGGAAATCATGTAACCCGTGTGTGTCCTCCACTGTGCACCCCCCAGTCCTGCATGGGGCCCTTGGTGGCCACAGCGAGACACTGAGCCTCCAAGTCTCCTCTCCGAACGAGTTGTTACTGTTTCCGCTTTCGGTGGCACGGGCCAGCAGGTGCTCAGTACCAGCATCGTCCTCGGGAGGACCCCGCACCATAGGCAGGATTACAGGGTTGTCCTGGGGTCTGATGACCTCACTGACCTCTAGACGTAGCGTGAAGACTCATGGAGCAGGAAGCGGCCTTGCTTGAACTTCTCCTTTTGTTTGGCTCTGTCTTGGAAAGCAGCTGTTTGCTTCCTAACTTCAGTCAGCTTTAGGCCTGCTGTGTGGTCCTCGGAGGTAGGCTGGTCAGTCTGTGTTTGCGAAGATTGGCCGTGAAGAGTGCCGTAGAAGTGGAGGCTTTATAAATCGTGCATCTGCACAGGTGAAGGCAGGTGGGCCCGAGGACTGCACTTGCTCCTGATGGTCCCTTGGCCCCCTCCTGCCTCCCTGGGGCTGACGAGGGTCCCTGTGACCTGCTGCTTCTGCCGTGCTCCAAGGGCTGATGGGTAAAGTGAAGGAGCTTCTCGTTCTCCTTTGCAGCAGTATGGCCAGTCCAAGGACGAGGAAGGTTCTTAAAGAAGTCAGGGTGCAGGATGAGAATCAGGTAAGCACTTGCCTGTCTGGAATCATCTCAGAGTGCTGTGGGGGTGAGCTGGGCAGCCCCGGGGCTCTGGGGGCTGGAGCGTGCCTTCCACAGCGTCTGTTAGCCGGGAAGGGTGCAGGATGAAAATCACGGAAACACCTGGGAGCCGGGGCTGGAACGTGGCTGTGAGGCGGCACAGTGTCTGCTAGCTAGGAAGGCTGGCAGGCAGGGCAGGGGGCTCTGGTCCTTTGTGGGAGGGGGACCTGCTGCATCTCTCAGGTCACGTACGTTTATGAAAGCTTCCAGTTTTGCTCTCTTGTGTTACTGTGTCCCTTCCCACTCTGCCTCCCCTCCTCCTGACTAGTGTCCTCAGCTACTCCAGGGACAGAGTCCCTGAGGCCCTGCATGTGGTACCTGCTCATTGCCCTTCCCACAGGTCTGCTTTGAGTGTGGCGCCTTCAGCCCTCAGTGGGTCAGTGTCACCTACGGCATCTGGATCTGTCTGGAGTGCTCCGGGAAACACCGCGGCCTGGGCGTGCACCTCAGGTCAGTGGTGTGGTCCGTGGTAGCGTCTCCTGGCAGAGGCTTCTGTCTCAGGAGCTGCTGCGTGAGTCACATGGGGGTGGTTGGGTCTCTACTCTGTGTTCACTCAGTGGACACCTGGTTTCTAGCTTTGTGCGCTCAGTGACCATGGACAAGTGGAAGGACATTGAACTGGAGAAGATGAAAGCTGGTGGAAACGCCAAATTCCGGGAATTCCTGGAGTCCCAAGAGGATTATGACCCCTGCTGGTCAATGCAGGAGAAATATAACAGCAAGGCTGCAGCGCTTTTCCGGGACAAGGTAGAGTGGGTGCAGGTGGGCCCTCACCTTACCTAGAGCAGAGTCCTACCAAAGTGTGAGCAAGCAGCTCGTTTCAGGGATGGCAGCCGGGTGTTCTTCCCCAACTTCCAGGCCAGTGTTGGGGGGTACCTGCATCAGTGGTACCCCTGACTCGTCAGTTGGAAGACTCCCAAGAAGGGTCTGAGGCCGGCACTTGGGGACCAGAGGGGTCCCATCCTTCCCGCTGCTGGGGGCTGTGTGCTCAGCTTGTAAGACTGGGGACATCAGGGTGAGGGTTCTCTGACCTCTCCCCCATCCCTTTAGGTGGCCACCCTGGCTGAAGGCAAAGAGTGGTCCCTGGAGTCATCTCCTGCCCAGTCCTGGACCCCACCACAGCCCAAGACACCACTGCCCACTGCTCACCGGTAGGGGAGGAGGCACGATATGGTCATTAACCCCATTGGTGGGCAGGCTGCAGGTGTCCAGCTGCAGGGACACCTGTGTGTGCCACAGCATGGCGGAGTGGACTCCAGGAGTGACTGAACCCAGAAGGTGCCCCGGCACAGTGCTCCCTGCTGCTCTGATGACTCTGCTCAGAGCAGGTGGTCCCATGTTCTCGCTGCCCCTGCAGACCCTTGTCCCAGAGCCTCTCCATCTGGTTCCTTCTCCTTTGGCATGGGCTCAGTCATGGGCCTGAGCCACTTCGTGGGCACGCACACATGGAGGTGGATCAGCCCACTGCTGGTCTTCGGGAGGTTTGCTGAACCGTGGGTGTCTCCCAAGGAGACCACGGGGTTCCAGGAGCCCCGTCCCATGGACCTTTGATTCTTGGTTTCAGAGCGGCTGGCCAGCCCCACAGTGTGACGGGCTCCTCTGACAAGGCTTTTGAGGACTGGCTGAACGATGATCTTGGGGCCTATCAGGGGTGAGGCTGTGGGACGGGAGTGGGTGGCTGTGGCTCTGGAAAAAGTCTAGGCCGGCCTGCGCTTGAAGTGGGTACTGGGTGGGGACGGTGAGGGTTCCCCTTGAAGCCTCCAGAGTGAACGTCAGCAGCTTGATGCTTCGGGGCTAACGGGTGGTGCTCAGAGGCCGGGTCCTGAGCGTCTGCTGTGTGTGTGCTCAGGGCCCAAGAGAACCGCTATGTGGGGTTTGGTAACACGGTGCCACCACCCAAGAGAGATGATGACTTCCTGAACAATGCCATGTCCTCCCTGTACTCGGTGAGCTGCTGGGGGCCCTGGGCTCGGCCCCTCTCCCCGCCTGATGACATCCCCAACATGTCAGCATTTGCATCCTTTGGCTACAAAACATGTTTTAAGTTCGCCATGACAATTTCCTGCAAGTGCCGGAAGTTGCGTGTAAAGCTCATGGGCAGCTTCCTGCCTCATAAGGACAACACTTCAAGGCGGAGGCACGCTTTCGGGCTGACCGCCTGCGTGGGGCCTTGAGTGTGTCCTCTGAGGTCGTTGAGGTGGCCTGACTGGACCCTGCTTTCTCTCAGGGCTGGAGCAGCTTTACCACTGGGGCAAGCAGGTTCGCCTCCGCAGCGAAGGAGGGCGTGAGTGACCCCACCCCCCGAGCAGGGATTGGGGGGGGTGGCTTCTGACGAGCCAGGGGCTGTTAGGGACCAGATCCCAGGACCCACCCTCCTGGCTGAAGGACTAACATCCCATCACGATCACTTTTGGGAGCGCCCTGTGGGCCAGACCTCATGGGACCCCATTTCTTGTGTCCAGTGGGGTCAGGCCCCTTCCAGACAGTCTGCCCACAGCTGGGCCTCCTGTCCTGTCCTTGATGTGGACAGTCTGGTATCGAGGGTCAGGCCTGCAGAGTCCCCTCACTGCCTGAGACCTCTCCCTTCCCCGATGGCAGCTCCGAGGGAAAGACTCCCAGCTGGGGGACTGTTGTCCACAAAGGCAGCCGGCAGGGGAGCCCCAGGGAGAGTCGGGCGCCCAGCCTGCCTTTGTCTTCCCTTTTAGGCCACGAAGTTTGGATCTCAAGCGAGTCAAAAGGTAATGGAGAGAAGCTTTTGCCATTAGTTCTCTTCACACCTGAGCCTGTCAGCACCAGTGAGGTCCCCTCCTGTGCTCAGGGTTGGGGTCTCAGCGCTGGCCCCAGAGGCCAGGCTTGGTTCTCCCAAACATTGACTGGCAGCCCACCTGCTTCTCTGTGAAAATGCAGGACCACTGACCAGGGCAGCTGTCTACTTTCCCCTCTCTGCCCAGGACCCAGCCTGGGGTGGGGCTTCCTGCTGAGACCACTGTCCCTGCTCTCAGGGCACCCCCAGCTCTTGGTGAATCTTTGTGTGGGTGGGTCTGATGTTGCTCCTATCCAGTACCGCTGCCAAGGGTCATGCTAACGGATCTCTCTTGGGCCCTCCCAGGCTCCGCCACTCGGAGTTTGCAGTGGTAGTGGGGGTCAGGTGGTCCCATTGTCGTCCCCAACTCTCCTCAGTGCCAGTGTGGTTCTAAGGGGCTTCCTGGTGTAGCCGTAGCTGCCCCTCCCATCCTGGCTCTTTCTCTCCTTCCTTTCTCTTCCCCCCACTAACCTGGCTCTTTGCCTTCTGGGTAAAGTTTTGGGGCTCCAAGCAGCAGCCAGAGCCGGTAACCCACAAGTCTTGTCGGTGTGTCTGTGTGCATGACCCTGTCTCCGTGTCCGTGTTGTCTGCTCGAGTCTGGCTCTGCCACCCCTGCCCTGCACTGCCTGCCTGTTGTGCCCCTCCTGGCCTGTTGGCTTGGGCAGCAGCCTTGCTGAGTGCCCAGTGGAGCGTGTGTCCACCCAGTTACCCTGTTTCATCCCAACATGAAGCCGGCCCTGTTGGGGCATGATGTCTCTGAAAGCTGGTCATTGCTATCCCACCTTGGGGACAGGATAGGTCCCCTGCAGCTGCTGCAACATCCTCTAACCCAGAAGGCTCTCCCACCTGTGGCAGGCCGGGCTCACCTGTCCCCAGGCCCCATGCTTGTCACTGCGGGGGAGGGAGGGGACAATTAGTGCCTGTGGACTCCCCCAGCACAAGGTGCAGCCTCTGACCCTTTGGGGACAGATGGGGGCCCTGTTGTCCACACGTGGATCTGGGTTCTGGCTAGGCAGTCATTGGGCGTCAGCCCAGCACAGAGTCCCAGGAGAAGCCCCCAGTGGTGGTGGAGGTTGGACCAGGGGGCTGCCTCCGCCCTTAGGACCGTAGGGGGGCTGGGGCCAGAATGTGGCCTTGTCACCTCCTTCTCACTTGTGTGCCCGTGACCCCTGCCACCCTGCTGCTCTGCTACCCCTGAGCCTGAGCGGTTATGCTGGACGTCGTGGATCTCGGCCCTGCCCACACAAGCCCGTGCTGACCACCTGCTGTCTGGTCTGTGTGCTTGTAACAGGCTTCCGAGTTGGGTCACAGTCTGAATGAGAATGTTCTCAAGCCTGCCCAGGAGAAGGTAATGTAGCTGGGTGGGCTCCACAGTCGGTTCTGGGGGGTAAGCCCCCCATTCTAAGTGCTTCCGTTCTGGGCAGCACCAGCCCCCTGGTGCCCTTCATTCCCAGTCTTGGAGAACTGACTGTCCCCATCCCTCAAAAGCACAAAGCCCCTGCGCTCCCTGCCCAGAGGGTCAATTATCCTCTGGACCCCCTCCGTGTGGACCTTTGCAGCTCGCATGTGGGAGCTGGTTGTTCTAGGCGATACTGTACTGTCCGGAGCTGGACTCTATTGTTAGGTCCCTAGTAGGTTTATAGAAGATGGGGAAGATTCTGTGGACCATCCCTCTGTTACCACGAGCAGTCCTGTAGTTGGTTTCTTACATTGTTACTGACTGTCCTTAGCTTGCCCTTGGTGTGGGTGGTCCCATGATTGCTGTATGTCCACTGCTCCGGTGTCCAGAACAGCAGGCTCACTGTCTTCAGGGTTGGCCACGCAGCAGTAACGCTACTGCGTGATGCTCTGGTCGGGATCCTCTGCCCTGACTGATGGCTGTCTCCCCCGAGCAGGTGAAAGAGGGAAGGATTTTGGATGATGTATCCAGTGGGGTCTCTCAGCTGGCATCCAAGGTAGGCGAGCTAGCCTGTGGGCAGAGCACAAAGCCAGTCTCCATATTCCAGTGCCCGGCACCCAGGATGGGGCCCTCCACTCCCCTGCGAGGAGTGGTGGGTGTCTCCAGCCTCCACGGCACTTGCTGCCTTGAGCAGGGTGGCCCAAGGCCTCAGCTGGCCCTCTGGACCCCCGGCTGGAGTGATGTGTCACTTCGACATGGGCAGCTGAGAGCGGAGGAATATGGAAACAGCTTGGTGGGGGGACTCGCACCAACGTTAACTGTCATTTCTTTCCCTGTTTTCTTGCTGCCCCTGGCCTTTCCCTGGGTAAGTGTCCACGCATCCCAGCCATGCTGGTGAAGTGGGGCCTGCCGCCCAGTGTCCTAGCACATGCTTCTTTCCCATAGAGAGGCCAGTCCCTGTGTTCATCAGGAGCAAGGGACAGGCTGTGTGGGCTCCTGCTGACCTTTCTGCTCCATCCATCTGGGTGCTGGGTGGCCACAGCCTCCTGGAGCCTGGTGACCCGTGGGGGTCACTGGAAGCTCTGACCCTTGCTGGAGCCCTCTGTCTCCTTCCAGGTTCAGGGGGTCGGCAGTAAAGGATGGCGAGATGTGACAACCTTCTTCTCTGGGAAAGCGGAGGAGCCCTGTGACAGGTGGGTTAGGGTGAACCGCTGTTTTCGGAGAAGGCCTGTCCTTCGGATGGTGCACAGTGGCAATTCAGTTCTCTTTGTTTTTCTCAAAGACCCCCAGAGGGCAGCAGCTACCAGAACAGCAGTGGGGACCACGTCCAGGGCAGCACCGTCAACCAGGGCTTCTGGGAGACCTTCGGCAGTGCTGATGCCCCCAGGGCCCACCAGTCCCCAAGCAGCAGCAGCTGGACATGCGCAGACAACTCGACTGAGCGCAAGAGCTCGGACAGCTGGGATGTCTGGGGCTCAGGCACCGGTTCCAACCACAGGAACAGCAATAGCGATGGCTGGGAGAACTGGGAGGCTGCCGGGGAGGGTGCTGGGGGAGAGGGCCGGCCCAGGGCCGGGCAGAAGGCCATACCACCCCCTGCCCCTGCCGATGAAGGCTGGGACAACCAGGACTGGTAGGCCACGTGCCAGCCATGCTGCCCAGCACTGGCACTGCCCTGCCACACTGTACTTGTTTTCCTCCTGCTTGGCCCCAGAAACACCCCCTCACCCGTCCAGCGAGCAGACCACCTCTCAGGACACAGACCCTGGCTGAGCCCAGGCTGCATCGGGCAGGGTGTGTGTCCACCCCAACTTCTCTGGGCCTCGCTGGTTCCGTGGCTCCTCAGAGCACAGACAGTCCTGTTCATGACCTGTCCACCAATAAACATGCTCCCGAGCGGCAGGGTGAACGGTGATGGTGTCCTGCAGGACCCTGAGTCAGGGTGGGACAGTCTCCCCACCATCCAGGATCACATGTCCTTGTCCTTTTAAAGAACACCCCTTGAGTTCAGACTGGACGCCCTGAGCCAGCACTACTGTGGAACATTCTCTCCCGTCCTCCCCGTCCACGCAGCCATATGCTGCTCCCAGGTTGTCAGCACTGAGGTCTCCTGCGTGGGGAGCCCTGCCCTTGTCCTGGACGGACGCAGTCCCTTCACATGGGCGCTAGGAGTGAGCAGGATCTAGGGGCTGCCCCCTGGCTTCTCCTGGGACCCTCCCTGCTGGTTCACCATCCTGTTGTCAGCACTCACCCTGGGGTTCCAGAGCCTGCCCTCAGTCCGAAGCCCCTCCCTTTTGTGACAAAAGTGTCACTGGCTGTGTAACATAGGGTGGACACCCGCAGCATCGGTGCTGTCGGAACACCTGCTGACACTATGCCCCCACAGCATGTGAGGTGTCCACAGACGCCCTAATGGGTAAGAATCAGGTCTGCAGACACTGGGGAGGTAGGCCCTTCACCGCGTCTGCGTGTCCCTGAATTGAGTGGCCAGTCGGGGTGGGCAGCCCGGTACCCCCAGCTTTCCTGTAACCACGGTGGGGTCTGCCCAGGGCCAGGAAGCACTCAAGGATGGCTGTCACTGGGAAGTGATTCAGGGACAGTGGAGACCAAAGGGGCTGCTTTTGGGTTCTTGGTAGCAGGTCTGAAGGGAATGGAGTCGGTTCCTAGCCGATTCCAAAGCAGACCCCATGTGGGGGATCGTCCCGGGGTGTTTCTCCTGACAGGGCATACTTAGTCCTGTCAGCCTGGGTCCAGTCTCCATCCCTGAGTTGACCCTCTGGTCGTCAGTGTCTCCATGTAGGGAGTGTGAATGACTTCTTGTACCTCACATGTCCTAGGTGGAAGGTTTTAAATGTTTTCCTGATGCAGTCATTTTCTGCTTTGACTTTCTGTTGATAATCGTGTGTTTTCAGTAACGTAAGACATGCTGCAATCCAGAGGAATTATTTTTTTTTAGGTAGTGTTTTGATACAGTGATGTGGGTTCCCAGTGGACTGGTGGTAGGACTGGTTGGATGAGACCCCTTTCTTGAGATCCACGCGTCCCCACCAGGCGGCAGCATATACAACTGGGGCAGCAGCTGCCCAAGAAACCAGCGGGCCAGGAAACGTTGGGCTTGGTATCCCGCCAGTCAGGAAAGGTTTCATTTAAGCCTACTCCGCCATATTGGCATTCTGGTCTCCAGACTGGATCCAAGAGTGTTGTCGAGGTGGCCTGCTGTGGTAATGGGGTCAGGCTACAATAAAGACTGGAAACCCCAGTCAGGAAGGTGTGTGAAGGGCCATCCTTCCCATCACCCCCCAGGGAGCAGTGGGTTGCTGGGTGGGGTGTCATAGCAACACTGAACTGCATCAAGCGGTGGCTCAGGTGCTGCCCACACTGTCCAGCCCTCCGGGCAGCCACAGCTGCAGCTCGGCATCATGGTGACCCAGCAGGGAGGACACGGGGCTCGGGTTCCTCAGCACGCTGCTGTCCAGACAAAGCCCTGAAGGCAGTGAGACTGAGGAGGACAGGAGGTGGAGCTGGTCCCTAGAGACCTGGGTCTCTGACACCCACCTGGGACCTGGGTGTCGGCAGCTGTGGTGGGGGCAGGCAGCCTTACACCCCAGGCCTACTGCCTGCTCAGGTTGCTGTGGGTAGGAGCCTGTTCCTCAGGGACTGCCCTCCTCCACCCCAGGTGGTGGGAGGGGGATGGACAGGCTTTGTGTGGCCTTCCTGATCCCAGGCAGGTCACCTACCCTGTCAGCCCCATGATCCTCCCTGCAAAGTGGGCGGAGGGGGTGGGGGCTATCATGGATGCCATGCCTTATGTGTGCAGGTTCTGGCTGTGGTGGGGGCGGAGGGCTCCTGGAGCTGAAGGCCCAGCTAGGTCAGAAGTACTGGGGACTAGTGGGCAGGTCCTGCCCCCCACCCTCACACATACATGTTCCAGATACACCTGTGAAGTGTGTGTCACCTGTGCGCACACACCTGTAACGGGTCAACTGGCCATAGCACAGGTTTTCAGGTGCTTCCAGACAAGAGGCCATGGTGTCTTGGGCTCTAAGATCCCAGCTTATGGCTTTTTGCTCCTAGTGTCCTTGAGACTGCAGGAAAGAGCGGGTGGATGTCTCTGCCCCCTGCTCTCAAGCTACTGCTGTGGGATACCGGGCGTCCCCTAGCCCTCTCCACCTCCTGTGGTACATTCTCAAAGTAGGTGCTCAAAGGACCCTGGATCTGGGGTCCATCCCCCAAAGCACTTTCTGCTGTTGGAAGCTGAACTTAGAATGGTGGGGTGGGGGCAGGCTGGAGGCCTCAGCAGTCATGGTCCCTCTGCAGATGGGGACTGTCTTAGGTTGTAGGGTTAGGTGTGGTGCTGGGGTTAATGCGCTGGACTGCAAAATCAGTTTGAACTGCAAGGTCGGTGGTTCCAGCTCACCAGCTGCTGCTCAGAAACCCTATACAGGGTTGCTATGGATCAGAACCGACTCACCAGCACTTAACAGAGAGCAGGCTAGGACAAGAGAGGGGTTCTGGAGTTCACAGGGGTATCACCTCCCTCATCCACAGCCATGGAGGTGGCCATGTGTGCCCTTCCATAAGCACCTGATGGGCTCTGGAGGAGAGAGTGGCTGTGAGGGGTCCCAAGTGGGGACAGGTGTGTTAGTTCATAGACGTAGATGCCACATGGCACCCTGAGCACCAACTACATCTGCAGTCCAGCTGGAGTGTCCATCTCCCACCACCCAGGGCTCATAGTTCTGGAACTGATAGAATCCCCATCTGCCGCCCAGTGATGGGATCCCAAAAGGGTCAGTGGTCTGTTAGGTAGGGCAGCACTGTGGCTTCTGGAAGGCCTGGTCCCTTCGGCTACCCCCAAAGAAGTCCCAGGTCAGGTGACCCTCCTACCACCTTGGCTGCTGTCGGCGGGGGGGGGGGGGGGGGGGGGGGGGGCAGGCCGAAGCTCTGGAGAAGCTGGTAGTGCAGAGGTGGGTTCCTGGGACTGGCCTGACAGGATTCAGGTCCCACGGCCTGTCATGGGCGATGCTGGAGGATTAGGGAGGGAGTCTGGGCGTGTGTTTTCCTACCCCAGTGGCCATGTACTGCCCTGCATGTAGCCGGATGCAGACCAGAGACCCCAGGAAATAGCCCAAGTGGACTACCCAAGTCCTGCACCCCAACCTGGTGAACTTCTCCACCATGCTGTACCATGTTTCTCTGAGGGTATTGGAGCCTGAGACCTCCGCTTCCCTCTGGAAGGGCTGGCTCTGTGGGGGCGGAGAGAGGAGGAGGTCCAGGGTGAGCTGGAGCCATGACGTCCTCACATAAAGCCCCGCCACCCTGGGGCCAGAGCTGTACCCAGCGGCCTGCTGAGCAAGAGAAGGAGGTAAAGGTGCTTGTGGGACTTGGTCCTGGCTCAGCAAGTCTGTGACCCGGAGTGACCGTGTCCCCTGTGGTGGGAGGTGAGGTCCTACATAGAGGGGTGGGGGGATTGGGGACCAGGGGGATGGGAGATCAGGGGGTAGGGAGCTCAGGAGATGGAAGATCAGGGGGTGGGGAGATCAGGGGAATGGAGGACCAGGGGGTCACTCAGGCCACTCGGTGACCCTCAAGGGGGGGTCTCAGGAGACAGCGCCCATGAGGTGTGGGGGGAGGACCCTCGGTAACTCTGGAGCCTGGAGCCTCTAGACCCAGAGTTTCAGAGTCAGGCTCATAGATGTGGGAGCATGCCAGGACACTCAGTGGGGTTGCCGTTTCGTAGGGAATAGGCTGTGGGTCTTTGGGATCCACAGATGTGGGAGGAAGGGCTAGCTAATGACCCGTGGGTCTTTGGGATTCACAGATGTGGGGAGGAAAGGCTAGCTAATGACCCCGGCTCCTCCCCCAGGCTGCGCACTATGAACCTCTGTGTCTGCCTCTGTCTGTGGCTAGGGGCCGCCCTGGGGAGTGGGCAGGGTCAAGGTAAGGAAACAAAGGCTCTCACCCTGACAGTGTCCACCTAGGGACAGCCTCCATTTTCCCACCACCCTGTCCAAATGGTCGTTTCTGGTCAACTGAATCTGTGCTTAACTAAGAGCTGTTCAGAAATAAGACAAGGTCAGAACCAACAGATGCTGACCTGAGCATCCCTCCTCGCTGGACTCCATCTCTCTCATGCCTGCATCTGAACACGCTGTGCACACGATTTTGTCACATCTATGTTTTCATCATTATTCCAAGACCTCCTTTTGTAAAACTCTACAATGGGTCAGATCCAGCTTTAAAGATGAATGTGGGAAGTGGGGCTGGTCATCAGCTGATTCTAATACTGCCCCTTCCCACACTCACAGAGATTAGAGCCGCTCTTGCCAGCCCACCAGCGGCCTCGGGTGCCTCACTGGGCTGTTGAGGACTGCTCCCTGCGTGTTGGACACTCCAAAGACTGCATGACCGTACTGAGCCGGTGGCAGGGGAGGGGGGACACCTCACATCAGAACATGTTCTCCTTGGAGGAGGTGCATTCCAGCCTTCATTCCCTGTATTCCTTGGGTTACCCCCCACATCTGTTGTTTCCTGGGGTGTGTCAGCTTCTCGTTACTTCCCGTGTAGAAGTCCCATATTTCTGTCTGCCTCACTGACAGTGACGTGCTCCCTTAGCTCCGAGGGGACCTGGGTTAGG